CAGGAATTAAGGAGACTAAGGAGACTTCTAGTTAAGGACAATTATCCACGCGGGCTGATTGAAAAGTGCTATAGAATAATGCCAAATAGGATGCAGGTAAGTACTCAATTAGAGCGAGATTATGGTTTAAACCATTTCAGCAAGTCATTGTGTAATCTGTTGAAGAAGATCGACTGTTTGGTCACAATTGCATCCGATTCACGTTTCATCTGTACCTAGTTAACTTAACTTTTCAAAAAACAATTAAGCAAAGCGTAGAATATCCAACCAAATCATGAGATGCCACATTAACTGGACCAAGTTGGACTATAAGAAGTGGTTATGTTTGCAGCTGGCCACATTTCTTGTCTTTGTGTTTTTGTGAACTATCGTTAAGCCTGGTGTCCCGCTCTGACGTTGTCTCTCCAATGATGGACGAAAGGTCAGTAAGGGGTAGCATATTCGTATTAGAGTAGGGTTTCGAGACTACCAGGGTAGCATAGCCGTGCGTCGAACTGCTATTCGGACAGATCTACAGTCACTGCTCCAAGGCAATTCCATTCTAGCTCCCAGTATGGACAACTTACGAGTCGTTTCCACTTTACTCTTCAAACGAAATAAACATTACTTCGACATCAAGGTATTAAGCGATTCCCCGAAACCCAGTTTCTCTACATTTGGAAGAACATCTAAGCTGAGAAACAAATGTTATTGAGTTTGGAGTTTTACAATTACCTAAACTGACCATATTTTTGCAAATCTTTTGGTTAAAGCTTATTTGGGAATACTTTCCATTTTAATCTTTTATCCATGCAACTAAATAAACTAGTTCTTTAAAGTATATCTAATAACAAAATATCAAAACTATATTTTCCTATTTATGCTTATCTACTTATTTCACCATTTACTTGCATCTATATTAGATATTCTTTATCATGTTTTGCCATAATAAACCAGGTCCTATGGGCTCACGTGGGCCGACTGGCAGTCAGGGTGAGAAAGGTTCCAATGGACCAGATGGTCCATTCGGCCCTACTGGCCAGGTAGGGCCTCGAGGCTCCCAGGGACGGACTGGTCCTCCAGGCGCGGTTGGAAAACCGGGAGTAGACGGTGAGAAGGGCAACAAAGGTAGTATCAGTGGACCTGGTGTTAAAGGTGACAAAGGCGAAGAGGTGAGTGACTATCCTTGCAAATCTCATATTCTCTCAGTGTTGAAAATAATCATAAGGGAAAAATAGAGCGGGAGGCTTTAGGAGGCTTACAAAAAGCACACGACATCAGAATAATGTGAAAAGGGTCTGTCTTGATGAATCGGGGAACCATTTTGCATGATTCTTTCAAATATGCACCTTATTATCCTTTTTCACTATTCATATATGACTGTAGTTCATGAATCATGCATTGATAAGTGAAAAATATATGGTAACCAATTTATTGACACTTACAGATGTCGGTTTATACAATATTTAATTGATCGTATTAGAAGTAGAGCTAAATCGGGCATAATGCTGAAATCACTCCCCCTCTGCTAATCCATTTTAGCTAAATTATACTGTAATTCGCTTGCAAATATGAATTCCAAGAAGTGATCTCTTGTTGTATAAAAGTGGTTTGATCTCATTTTCGCAACTTACTCTTGCTGTCAAGGCGACCTAGCTGGACACACCTTGTCCAAAGCCCTTTGCTAATATAGTTATGTTACTTCCAAACGTCCGATTGTGGACTTGATACGTTCCCATTCAGACTCTGGGAATTATCATAATTATAATAGCAGAGGGCTTCCTGATAACACAACCAAATTGCGAAAACGAGGTCAAGCCCATTCTATACTGCCATTGTCTTGAAAAAAATCCTCTTCAACGTTGTCATTTATGAGCATTTTATGCTAAAGAAAGAAGAAAAATTAAAAATTCTACATTAAGAAATCAATTGAAGCATGAAACTGAATGAAAATGGATGGATATATCAAGTCTTACGTGAATTAGAACTGTTGGTCCTGAAGGACAGATATTGA